GCTGTAATACATTATGTGCTACTCCTGGAAGATTGATGGACATCATAGGCAAAGAAAAGATTGGTCTGAGACAAATCAAATATTTAGTTTTGGATGAAGCTGATCGCATGTTGGATATGGGTTTTGGACCACAAATGAAGAAATTAATTTCTTGCCCAGGAATGCCATCAAAGGAAGAGTGTCAAACCCTTATGTTCAGTGCAACTTTTCCAGAAGAAATTCAAAGGTTGTCTGGGGAGTTTTTAAAGTCGAATTATTTGTTTGTTGCTGTTGGACAAGTGGGTGGAGCATGTTGAGATGTTCGGCAGACTATTCTTCAAGTTGGCCAGTACTCAAAAAGAGAAAAACTTGTCGAAATTCTACGAAACACAGGTGATGAAAGAACTATGGTCTTTGTTGAAACTAAGAAAAAAGCAGACTTTATTGCAACTTTTCTTTCTCAGGAAAAAATATCAACTACAAGTATTCATGGTGATCGGGAGCAGAGAGAGAGAGAGCAAGCTCTTAGAGATTTTCGCTGTGGAAAGTGCCCAGTTCTTGTTGCTATTTCAGTAGCTGCCAGAGGGCTGGATATTGAAAATGTTCAACATGTTATCAATTTTGATCTTCCTTCTACCATTGATGAATATGTTCATCGAATTGGGTGCACTGGTCGTTGTGGGAATACTGGCAGAGCTATTTCCTTTTTTGATCCTGACTCAGATAACCATTTAGCACAGCCTCTAGTGAAAGTACTGTCAGATGCTCAACAGGATGTTCCTGGGTGGTTGGAAGAAATTGCCTTTAGTACCTATGTTCCTGGCTTCAGTGGTAGTACAAGAGGAAATGTGTTTGCATCAGTTGACACTAGAAAGAATTACCAGGGCAAGAGCACTTTGAACACAATGGGGTTTTCTTCTTCACAAGCTTCCAATCCAGTAGATGATGAGTCCTGGGATTAAAGCTAGAGCATCCTTCAAGTCTGTGGTACAGTTTTCATGCAGAGAAGAAAATAGTTTTGATTTTTGAGTTTTTAACAGAAGTATGAAATCTGACATTCTCATATCTCTGGATGTCCTTCTGTTCTCTCTCCCACCCTTAAAAAAAGAGAATAGTCTTTTCAATAAATGGTGTTGGGAAAATCTGACATTCACATGTAAAGAAATGAAAGTGAACTCCTATCTTACGCTGTACACAAAAATCAGCTCAACATGCATTAAAGACTTATGTGTAAAACCTGAAACTATAAAATTCTAGAAAAACATATAAGGAAAAATCTTCATGATATTGTCTTGGCAATAATTTCTTGGTTATGACACCAAGCTCACAGGCAACAAAAGCAAACATAGACAAGAGAAACTCTATCAAACTGAAAAGCTCTGTACAACGAAGGAAACACTAAAGAGTTAAAAGACAGCTTATGGAATGGGAGAAAATACTTGCAAACCATAAATTTGATAAAAGTTTAAATTCTAAAATACATAAGGAACTCCTACAATTCAATAGCAAAACAGAACAAAATAAACAAACTAAAACCCCATAAAAACTAATAACCTGATTTAAAAATGAGCTAAAGACTTCAATAGACATTTCTCCAAAGAAGATATAGAAATAAATATACAATACATATATGAAAAGATGTCCAATGTCACTAATCATTAGAGACACGTAAATCAAAACCACAATAGGTGTCAGGCATGTGGGAGAGGGAGGAGGTTATGTGTATTACCCACCTAATGGGTGTGATGCTCACAGTCTGGAATGGGACATGCTCGAAGCTCTGACTCGGGCGAGACAAAGGCACTATAGGTAACCTAAACATTTGTACCC